CACGAAGTTCAACGAGGTCAAGTGCAAGGTCCTGCACATGGGTCGGGGCAATCCCAGGCCAGGCAGAGAATGGACTGAGAGCAGCCCTGAGGAGAAGGAGTTGGGGATGTTGGTTGATAGGTTCAACATGAGCTGGCAATGTGCACTTGCTGCATCAAAAGAAGCATGGCCAGCAGGTCAAGGGAGGTGATTCTCCTCCTCTATTCTGCTCTCATGAGACCTCACTTGGAGTACTGCGTTCAGCTCTGGGGTCCCCAACAGAAGGAGGACATGGATCTGCTGGAGTAGGTCCAGAGGAGGGCCACGAATATGATCGGAGCGCTGGAGCACCTCTCCTAAGAAGACAGGCTGAGAGTTGGCGTTGTTCAGCCTGGAGAGAGAAGGCTCCAGGGTGGTCTTATAGTAGCCTTCCAGTACCTAAAGGGGCCTACAAGAAAGCTGGAGAGGGACTTTTTGCAAGGGTTTGTAGTGATAGGACAAGGGGTAATGGCTTTAAGCTGAATGAGGGGAGATTTACATTAGATCTAAGGATTCAGTGGTGAGGCACTGGAACAGGTTGCCCAGAGGAGCTGTGGATGCCTCATTCCTGGAAGTGTTCAAGGCCAGGCTGGATGATGCTTTGAGCAACCTGATCTTGTGGAAGGTGTTCCAGCCCATGGCGGGGGGTTTGGAACTAGATGATCTTTTAGGTCCCTTCCAACCCAAACCATTCTATGATTCTATACCTTTTTTTCAGTCAGCTTGTACTTCCAGTCTACTCATCTCATTTCCCTAAGCACACTCTTTTCAAATCCTGTATTTGAGGCACAGCTGCTATTCCAACCTGTTTATGTGATCCCTATAGTACTTGGTTTCAAAAGCCTCCATTTTACATGGGAATAAAGACCCAGAGAATTATAACCATCTTTCTTTGCTACTGACCAGTTTTCTTTGCCAAATTAGAACAGTGGGAGTGTTTTCAGCAGTACAGCGTTTTCTTGATCCCTGCTGTTTGCTAGGCTACCCCCCATATAGTACTGTATCAATTTCTGAATCCTTTATTTAATATTTCTCCTCCTCTGTATTGCTGTATATGGAAACTACACCGATATTTTTCATCTTTCTCCCTTACTTCTCAAGTTAAAGTCAAAAGACATCCCAACTTCAAACCAAGTCTATAAGCTCAGAACTACTGAGATGGCATCTATATGTTGGGATTTTTCCTTTCTTTGAGGATCTTCCAAGTAGATCTGGAGTAGACATCACAGTCACAAGCCAGTTCTGCTCTGATAGAGGCTCACTCATTCATGTGTTCTGATGTTAGAGCCTCAATGCAAATTATTCAGCTTGGTGGATATCTATACCTTCATGCAGAGGTTTTTAAGTCACTCTGGCTGTTGCTGGTCTATTAAATGGTGCAGTTAAGAACAGAACATATCAGGTGTCCTGCTCCAAAACCAACCCACCAGTCAATGTGAGGTCTGCAATAATCACCATCAATCACTCCAATCCACCAGCAGGAAACCTGTTGAAGTATTTCTGTCAAACCACCAATAAATCTCCCACCTCTACAGTCATATAGTTTCATGTTCACATACAAAAAGTTTATTTTTGTCACAATTGGGCGTGATTGTTGCTGGGATAGAAGTAGAGAGATAGAAAGCATGATTGTTGCTGGGATAGAAGTAAGGAGATAGAAGAGTGCTCTAGAAATATGGCAAGCTAAGAAGGTTTCAGAGAGATGCTGCAGAAGGACTGAGAGTGCTTCCATTAACATATCCTGAAAGTGCTCCTGTTGTGTCTTTAATTATTGAGGTGCCAAGACACATGCCACTTTGCTTCAGGCTACTGCAAGCATCAGAATAGATACCTAAAGTGGGGTGTGGCAAGCCAAGACAGTCAGACCAAGCTCAACTCTGCAGCATTCAATCAAAGCAAAGCATCCACCCTCAGGTAGACTTTAATTCGCTGGGTTCTTGTCCAACTTCATCTCATGAGCCATAATCAGTAGACTAGATCTTATCACTTCTTTATACTGTAAATAACTCAGAATAACTCTCTAGAGTTAGGTTGTAGCAAGGTGGGTGTTGGTCTCTTCTCCCAAGTAACAAGCAACAGGACAAGAGGAAATGGCCTCAAGTTGCACCAGGGGAGGTTTAGATTGGATATTAGGAAACATTTCTTCACAGAAAAGGCTGTCAACCATTGGAAAAGGCTGCCCAGAGAAGTGGTTGAGTCACCATCCCTGGAGGTATTCAAACGACATGTAGATGTGGTGCTTAGGGACGCCGTTTAGTGGTGCATGCACTTTGCAGGTTAAGGGTTTGTGCTGGGTTTATGTGGTGGGGTTTCAGTAGCAAGAGAGGGGCTGCAGAGATAGCCCCTGTAAGGAGCTGCAGAAGTTTCCCAGGCTCCAAAACCAGTGGGACCAGTCTCTGGCCAGGTTGCACCTGCCTCTGGCCAAGGCTGAGCCAATCAGCGCCTCTGTGAATGACATTTAAGAAGGCGACAAAGGAATGCAATCCAGGCCTGACGTGCAGTGAAGAGAGGGGGAAAGCAGGGGGGGCTGTGTCCCCCATCCCGGCCTCCTATGTGGGTGGTTCTCTGGGTTGGGCTGCTGCCACTCGACTGGTGACGGCCATGGTGGCGTGGCTTGGAGAGCTCTGAAGTGCCCTACTCTCAGGGCAGAGTTCATTCCTGCCAGGATCACTGAGGTTCATTGGGCTGATCGGGCCCAGCACAGCTGGAGCAGAAAGAGGACTGAGACCCAAGAGAAATGGCTATGCAGACACCAAGGTCAGTGAAAATAAAGTGGGAGGAGGTGTGTCGGAGCTGAGATTTCCCTGCAGCCCATGGTGACACAGCAGGCAGCCCCCCTGCCACCCATGGAGATTAACGGTGGAGCAGAGATCCACCCGCAGCCCGTGGAGATCCTCACGCTGGAGCAGAGATGTCTGTGCCTGAAGGAGTTCATAGAGGACTGTCTCTGTAGGAAAGGACCCCACACTGCTGGAGACTGATGGTGGAGCAGAGATGTATCTGTAGCCCATGGGAAGGGACCCCACACTGGGGTGAGCAGCTGCGCCCTAAGAAGCCGTGACTCCGTGGAGAAAGCCTGGACTGGAGCAATCCAATGGGTAAGGATTGCATCCTGTGGGAAGAATTCACATCAGAGAAGTTTGTGGAGAACTGTCTCCTGTGGGAAGAGGCCTCATGTTGGAGCAGGGGAAGAGTGTAAGAAGTCCTCCCCCTTTAAGGAAGCAGCAGCAGAAAAAGCGTAACTGACCTGCAACCCTCATTCCCTGTTCCCCTGCACTTCTGGGGAGAAGAGGTAGAGTTGGGAAGAAGGGAGTCTTGGGGGAAAGGTGTTTTTAAGATCTGGCTTTGTTTCTTGTTATCCTCTCTGCAGTAAGTGATAATGGATTAAACAGACTTTTCCCCAAGCCCAGCCAGTTTGCCCAGGGCCATGGTTGGTGGGTGATCCCTTCCTATTCTTATCTCAACCCTCAAGCCTTTTGTTACATTTATTTTCTCCTCTCCACCCTACAAGAGCAGGGTGGAGGTGAGGGGAGGAGGAGGGAAGGAGTGAGTGCTACCAGCTGGGCTAAACCACAAGATGGTTGGACTTGATGATCTTAAAGGTCTTTTCTAACCTAAACGATTCTATGATTCTATAAGAGAGCCATTATTCCTGAATAATTCTTCTGCTTAGAAAGTACAGCAACTATTGTTGAACAAAGCCACTTATCCTGGAGGAGAGCGATTATAGCTTATTCCATAATAATATCTTGAAGAACTTAACATATAAAAAAGGCCGTGATGCAAGATTATGTTCAAGAGAGCAAGAGGACTATTTGAAGAGCACTGGCATTCAGTACTACTGAAATTGGTCCCATCTGAATTCCAACCACAGATTTCACCAGAAGGCTGTCCTGAATTAGTCACTATTACAACTGTACATATTTATTCTGATTTAAGATAGTGGTTCTATACACTGACCATAGGACTCTCCTCAAGCACCACATGCCTGATCTCATGCACAACAGATGGAGTCCACATGCATGTGGTAAGATCACCAGCAGTGCTGCACGTTTCTTGCTGCCAGCTTTTAAGTTACAAGAAACTTCAACATGTGAAGCATAACTTGAAAGAACACCAAGGTAGTTTAGTACCAGGAAATAACTGAAGAAGAGAAATCCCTGAAGTGTTCCTGAGCATAAAAGAAACACTGCTCCAAAAGAAACACTTGCACAACACAATGGAGAAAAGGGTCTCAACAAAGTGTAGTGCAGAGACTGCCCAAGAACACTAAAAGCAATACATGTTTCACTGCTCAGACGCTCAGTCATCATCTGTGCCACACCATATCTAAATTAGCTTGTGTTTAGTGTCAAGTGTACAAAGGGACAGTTATATCCTTCATGGCACTGTATAAATGAAAGAGAGCTAAAGTCTACACATCACATCATTGGGTTTTCAAGTGAGAACGAAACTAACTCACTGACTTGCTCACAATTATGACAAAGATCGTGACAGCTCATGGAATCTCATGCTTGAATACTGTAACAAGTATTTGATAAGCCTAAGTCAGCAGCATTCAACCTGGTTGGTGAACTCCAATGGGTCAATGAAAGCTGAGGAAAGCAAGCATATCACTAACAGCACAAATTTGCTGTTCTCATTGGAAAGTTTTAGAAATCCATAAAATCCAGAGAGACTGAAAGACACTGCACTAGACATTAAGTGAAACAAAGGATCCAGAAAGCCTCGAAAGACATTGGAAATAAAAAGAGCTAATGAGACGCACTTCAAACAGCCTCAGAAGTCTATAATAAGCAAAACAAACATCGATTGTAAGAGACTTGAGTAAAAACTGTGGCAGTCCAAAAGGAGAATCAGGAGTTGGGTTTTTTGGGTCCCTCAAGCACAATGCCCCAGGCAGTGAAAAGCCATCTTATCCCCACTGCCCTAAGAACAAAACGGCCAAAGCAGTATTAACTCCATGTGAAGCAATCACTTACTCTGGTCGGCAAATCACCAGGTCCCCTTTGTTGGTGCCATATGCCAATCCCAGGCCTGGCTCAGGCAGCCAGCGAGCAGAGTTTATGCTGACGTGTCTTCTCTGGTCGGCAGGCATTGGGTACAGAACGTTGAAAACTCTCTGCAACAATAACAGGAGGTTACTTGACAGGACAATTCGAGGCAGGAGAGCCAAGGAGGCTCAAACAAACGTTCGATCTTCCTGCCACAGTGCAGCTGGCTAAAGAGACATGTCACTTTACAGAATGTTGAAAGAAATCACTAATCCAGCAGCAGCAAGAGTAAACAGCTGCTAGAAAGGCACATACATGTGCCCCTAAGTGTTTAATCAACTGGCACACAGTTGCAGAGCAGAAGAGATTCAGTGGGCTGCACAGTCCTTCTATTCAAACAAATTAAACAAAATGATGGGAACAAGTGGTATAGCCATTAGAAAGTGGGACAACTGGGACTCTTCTGAACTTCACCTCTTATCTTAACTCACTAGGGTTGAACAGGAAGCTGGCAAGTACCTGGACTTTCAGCATCAAAAGTTTATTGTTTATATCGAGCAAACCAAACTTTATGCAAAAATAATGTCAAATTCTTTCCTTTTTTAAACATTTAAACAGCCTCCTGAAAACGTTTCAGAGTTTGACCAACCCCCACACCAACACTGTACGAAGGAAAATCAAAATCCAGAGATTATGAGAATAACACAAGTACGCAAGTAACAAATCCCTCAGTTCAGGTTTCCTTCCAACACCATCCATTTTACCTGCAGTAAGGTAAGAAGCTGAATTGCTGCTAAGACTGCAGGTAGTTAGCATGGCTGCAAGCCAGCACTTCTCAAATGCTGTGTCATCACAGGTGAATGAAAACCCTGTGCACAGAAGGACCAATAGCAAGCTCTGCTCTCTGGTCTGCACTAGGTTTGTTTCTGAAGCATGTGAGCTTGAAAAGCAAGAACAATGAAGCGGAACAGATTACACCTACTCAGATACTCACCTTCCACTCCAAGAAGCTAACATCTTTTGTACAGCACACTTTCCTGTACTCCACTATCCAGCAACCAGAACTGGGTACACTGACAATACTCCATTTAGCCAGAAAATATGATACATGTAGACCATAAAAAAAAAGTCAGGGAAGTGGAAAGAGGGGTAACGAGCTGGTTTGGCTACCAGGAACAGACAGGGACAAGCTGCTTCAGTGGACTGGGCCAGCAGAGCATGTTCCATCACGGCTTCAGAAGGTAGGGCTGAAGACTGCATTTACAAGTCCAAATCATTAACAGAATTTCTGCAGAAATTTACCTAGGATTTAAACCTGTAATCACTGCAGGCAAACACAAACTTCAAATTCAGATTTTCCATGGGATAAATCTCAGGCGAAAGATATGTTTTCATTAGATGTTCTGTTGGGCAACTATCCATCCGTCACTGGTTTCGGCTGGGATAGAGTTAATTTTCTTCTTAGTAGCTGGTATAGTGCCGTGTTTTGGATCTAGTACGAGAATAATGTTGATAACACACTGATGCTTTAGTTGTTGCTAAGTATAGAGCTATGGTTTTGGATTTAGTATGAGGATAATGTTGACAACACACTGATGTTTTAGTTGTTGATAAGTAGTGCTTACTCTAAACTAAGCTTCCCATGCGCTACCAGTGAGGAGGAGCACAAGAAGCTGGGAGGGAGCATAGCCAGGACAGCTGACCCAAACTGGCCAAAGGGGTATTCCATACCATATGATGTCATGCTCAGTACATAAACAGGGGGAAAGTTAGCCAGGGGATCACTGCTCAGGAACTGGCTGGGCATCGGTTAGTGGGTGGTGAGCAACTGCACTGTGCATCACTTATTTTGTAAATTCTATTATGATAATGATTATTATTATTATTTCCCTTCCTCTTCTGTCCCATTAAACTGTCTTTATTGCAACCCACGAATTTCACTTTTTTCCCCTCCAATTCCCTTCCCCATCCCACTGTGGTAGGGAGAGTGATTAAATGGCTGCGTGGTGTTTAGCTGCCTGCTGGGTTAAACCGTAACAACCACAAAACCTTTCTTCTGGATATCTCAGAAAAAGAGATAGTGCTGGACCAGGAAGCAGTGAAGGG